TTCTTTCTTTCTTTCTTTTCTTTTTTTTTTTTTTTTGCCATTAACCCATCCATTTGTTTCTGACACTTGCATTTGGGAATCCATATTTCTGCTCTGTTAGGGTCAGGACATCACTCTGGTGGTTTCTTAATTATCAGTGACTTTGATTTCACTGTCACTGCTAAAGAGAATGAAATGATATTGCAGAGGGATTCATGATCTTGGTCCAAGGCTAACAATGGTTTTTTTCTTTTCTTTTTTTCTTTTTTTTTTTACTATCATGGGGTACAGTGTACTGTTTCTATATACAATTTGAAATACTTTCATCCAACTGGTTAACATAGCCTTTATGTCTTTTTCTTAGTTATTGTGTTAAGACATTTGTATTTTATACTTAGAGAGATTCACATGTACCCTTATAGGATGAACCATAGGCGTGATCTCACCAATCACCATCCCTTCCCTCACCCTCTACCCTCCCCTCTCCTCCCTGTCTCTCCCCATATTCCTGGGCTAAAATTGGGTTATAGCTTTCCTATGAATTAGTTTTATAGTAGGGCTGAGTACATTGGATACTTTTTATTCCATTCTTGAGATACTTTACTAAGAAGAATGTTTTCCAGCTCCATCCATGTAAACATGAAGGAGGTAAAGTCTCCATCTTTCTTAATGGCTGCATAGTATTCCATGGTGTACATATACTACAATTTATTGATCCATTCGTGGGTTGATAGGCACTTGGGCTTCTTCCATGACCTAGCAATTATAAATTGGGCTGCAGTGAACATTCTGATACAAATCTTTATTGTAGTGTGATTTTTGGACTTCTGGATATATACATAATAGAAGTTCTTACTTCAAAATGTTTTTAATGTGTTTCTTTTGTACGTATAATCTCCTGTATATTCAATTCCTGAGAATATTTTATGGTTTCCTCACTTTTAAAGGCAGTTTTACTGGGTATAAAAACTCTAGTTTCTAAATGATTCATGGCTGTTCCTGCTTCCAGTTTCACTCCTTAAAAATGTGATGTTAACTGGGTACTTGTTTCTTTATCAGTGATTTGTTCTTTCTCTCTTGATACTTTGATATTTTAAGATTTTTACCATAAGTCATCTAGCAATATTTTTGAGCCTATATCCTTTTTTACATGCTATATGGCTTTTTAATATAAAGTCTTTTTTAATTCTAAAAAAAATTCTCTTATTTCTTTAAATATTTCCTAGGACTTCATTTATCTGAGTGTGGCATATCTGCTTCTGTCCTTCACTTCTTTCAATTGTTCTTTCATATTTTCTAATCTTTACTCTTTTTAATTATCCCATCCAAACTGTCAGTAGTACCAATATTAAGCAACCTTGATTTAAACAAATGTTAATAATTCCTTCTAAGAGAGTCACTTATTTACCCTCTTTATTAAATTGTCTTTTAGCTGTATCCATTATCCATTCTATTATTAAATAGTTATTACATATATTTTGGTTTTTATTATAATTATTAGATATTTCATACTGCTATGGTTTTAATATGTCCTTTACAAAATTCAGGTGTTTAAAATTAATGTGATGATGATATTAAGAGATAGAGCCTATAAGGCATGAATGAGTCATAAAGGCTCATCTATAATGCATATTTCAAATTTGATAGAGGAGAGGATTTTACATGCTAATTACAAAGGAATGATAAAGTTTGAAGTGATGAATATGCTAATTACCCTGATTTGATCATCACACAATGGGTACATATATCAAGACATCACAGTGCCCCCCATAGGTGTGTACAGTATGTGTCAACTGAAAACAAAGAAAAAAGTCAGCTTCTCAATGAGGTCTTCATTAGCCAGCTTCTAAGAAAGACAGACAGACAGACAGACAGACAGACAGGGAAAGGGAGGGGGGAGGGGAAAAAAGAAAGAAAGAAAGAGAGGAGGAAGGGAGGAAATAAAGAGAAGAAGGAAGGAAGGAAAGAAGGAAGAAAAATAATAAGCAATAATACTCAATGCTTTGCATTTCCCTTTTTTTTTTTGGCAATTTTATTTTTTTTGGACTGGGGCTGGGTTTGAACCCACCACCTCCAGTATATGGGGCCAGCGCCCTACTCCTTTGAGCCACAGGCGCTGCCCCATTTCCCTTTATTTTTCTCTCTATCGCAATTCCTGTCTAACACCCTATATAATCACACCAATCTTTTTTCTTGTCTTTTTCTACAAGACCAGTAATTTTTGTGTTTTTTGTGTTTTGTTCACTGCTGTGTGTCCTTCTAGGACATAAAAAGTAGATAAATGATACAGTTGAATGTAAGACAGAGACGTGAGTGAAAACCATTTCTAAGGTTTGAGGAGGTAGCTGGACCTGGAAGTCAGGGCTTTGGGGGATGCCCCTGCTCCTTGGAGAGGATGCTCATTGGGCTGATGGAGGCATGGGCTCATTGCTCAGACACGAGCTGGGCAGGAGTATCAAAAAGGCAGCATATTTTTTGGAATGAAAAGAAATACAATTATATTCACTATAGGAAATGCTGAGCTTGCAATGGTGTAGAAATAAATTAAGAACATTATCTATAATCAAATAACCAGGATTAATATTTTGGTGTATTTCCTTTTTGTTTTTGTGTAATCATGTGTGCACATAATATAATTAAATTCATTTTCCTTTTAGCCTATAATTATCTTTCCATATTAATTCTTTTCTAAAAACATTTTAATAGTTGCATTCCAATTTAAAGTGCCCTTGTATTTTACTCTCTGTGCACATCTCAGATGAGGCCTATAAATTTGTTTCTATAGTGGGATGGCTGGTTAGTTAGATCAAAAATGTCCTGCTGGACGGGCTGCCTTTCCCACAATAGAAAACATGGAATCCACTATGACACTCTCATCAACACTGGTGAAGGCTATTTTTTGTAAAGTATGTCATTTTGATAGCTGAATCTCAGGAAGCTGTTGTCATAGCATTTGCATTGGGTTGACTTCCAGAAAGTCGAATACCCTTGTGTGTGTTCATTTCTGTGTGTGAAATCTCATTTCGGGGCTTGTGTCTTTAGGGGATGGTGGAAGAAAGGCTGAGAGAACATCATTAGGCTGAGAGAGAGGGCAGAGGGTAAGACGGAGCCCAAAGAGTCTAGCTGGGAGGCCAAGGAAGGAGATGGAAGAAGTGGAGAGGCAAGAGGAGAATGGGTGGGTGTGCAACTGCGAGGTATTTACTGAAGGTAGCAGGAGAGCATTTAAAAGGAAGAGGAGATCAAAGGTATTGTATTATAGTTCTCCAGAGGAAAGAACCATTAAGTTATATCTATCCATCTATAGTCTGGATTTATTATGAAAAGTTGGCTCACATAGTTAAGGAGGCTGAGAAGTTCTGGCATCTGCAATTTGCAAGCTGGAGAACTGGGAAATCTGCTGGTATAATTTGGTTTGGGGCCAAAAGACCCAAGAATTGTTTTTTTTGTTTTTGTTTTGCAGTTTTTGGCCAGGGCTGGGTTTGAACCCACCACCTCCGGTGTATGGGGCTGGCGCCCTACTCCTTGAGCCACAGGAGCCACCAAGACCCAAGAATTGAAGCGGCTGATGATGTGTCTCAATTTGAGGGCCAGAGAGGATGACATGGAAAAAAGGCACAATTCCTCTGCCTTTTTTTTTCTATTCATACCCTTAACCCATTAGATGATGTCCAACCACATCCATGTCAGGGAGGGAAATCTACTTTATTGAGCCTACTGGTTCAGATACAGATCTCATCTGGAAACACCCTCATAAACACATCCAGAAATAATTTTTCATCTGGGCATCCTGTGGCCCAGTCAAATTGACACACAGAATTACCCTTTGAATGGTGTGGAAAGTTCACAGGTTAGAGGTTAAGGATGAGGAAGGGTGTATGAGTTGGTGTCTTCCAGGAAGGCAAACCCATGGGTTTATAAAGGAAGCATCATTGTGCAGCTCATGGCCCTTCAGAAGTTCCCAAGATCCTTCCAAGCCTTGCCCCTGGATTTCTAGACACATAGTCTGGCTACCTCCATGCTCCAGGACCCTGCCCCACGCTCCATGGCCTCTTGGCAGTTGCTTCCTGCAAAGAGCTCCCCCTGCCCATTACATTTCTCCATCCTGGAGGCTTTGTAGGAGCTGCACCACACAGGTGTCTGCCCTCCATTTCTCCTGGTTCTCAGACGATCACCCTTACTGCTCATCACACACAACACCCTGTGATGAGGGCACCATTTTATAATAGATGTTTCATCAACCCATCAAACACAGCTTTAAATAGAAAATACGGGCAGTCCTCAGGTTACAAACAAGATAGGTTCTACAGGTATGTTCTTGAATTTGTATGTACATCTGACAAGGCACATTCACCTACTATCTATAATAGCTTCCATAAGTGCTAGTTCTACCTCAGTTGGATGTTTGTAACTCGGGAATTTCTGCCTGTAATTCCTTTACACACAGCTTAACTTTTGATACATTGAAGCCACAGGTTCTGACAAGAGACCATTGTTCCAATGCTGTAGAGAGGTCCGGCAGGGTCTTCTTCCTCCTGCCTTTGTCTACGTCCCTTCTCCCAGCAGTGCAGAGGGGCCTGGGGTAGAAGGGGACGGGCACAGGACTGTCTGTTCTGACCCTTGCTGATTGGTCACGGACGGTTCCTCGGAGTAGTGTTAGCTGGGACAGTGTGGGACACAACCCCCAAAAGACGAGGACCAGATGGTCACAGAGATGCATTTACTGAGTTGCTCAAACCTGCCCCCCCACCATCCTCCACCATGGGAACGGGGCCCACAGTGTAACCCCCTAAAGCTGGCCCATCTTGCAGATGTAACTCAGTGCCTTCCCAGGATGCCACCAAAGGCTGTGGGAATTTTTGCTAGTGTTCTTCCTGTGTTTCTTTGCCAGAGATAGAAGCAGGGAACTATAGTAGCACTTATGAAATTTTCTACGATAGCTGGAATATTTTGCCCTTTCAGGGTTATTTCATTAGTGACACAAAACCCAGAGGCTGTCAATAATAAGGGGAAAGATTTTTTTTATGGTAAAAACTTTATTTACTATTTATAAATACATTGCAAGACAAACTTTTCAAAAATACTTTTTTTTTCAAAAACTTAAAAAAATAAAGAAAAGCTAATAGGTAGGCAGAATGTCTTGAGATCCCTTGGTGTTCTCAAGGAGAGCTCTGTGAAGTGGGTGTCCACACGGAGGGCCACAGCAGGACAAGGCAGAGTTCTCCCATGCCTGACGTCTCCAGACCTCCTCAGGTTTGGCTTCTGGGAGAGCAGCCTAGCCCCACGGGCACCAGCTCCTTTCTTCCGTTGCAGCCACAGTTATGTCATCTAGCATCTCTAAGATTTCATCTAGGAATATCTAGTATAGATCCTATTATATTTGGGCTATGTTGTATACAATGTTAACAATGAATTAAGAACATATCTTCTCTGCATATATGTGTGAATTATAAAGAAAAGTATGAGAATGACTCCAAGTTCGACAAACACAGGTGACTCCCTATGTGTTCCCCGTATCCTCAATGGGCTCTCCAACAAGCCATTCAACTTTCCTGTTTAGATATTATTGTTTACACTGTGCCAAGGAGGAGAAAAGGTGAGAGATGAAAATAAATCTTTGTTTTTAGAAAGCTTATCCTCAAAAATGAACTTTGTCATGAACGGTTGAACTACAAAACACTATTTTCTGCAGTCATCTGAAGAATCGTGCCATTATTTATAATGCTTCTGAACACGAAGGCTGACTCTTACTGTCCCCCCATCCCTCTTCCCTTTGGAGCCACAGCAAAGGCCATCATGGGTCTTTCACAGGGCCATGTCTTTGGGAAGCTTCCTGATAAAGGAGGGTCAGAAATACCTGCCTTTATAGGTTCCCAGAGGGTCCTAAAACATTCTTGGTCATTTTTTTTTTCTTTTAATAAGACTCCACCTTATTTAACAGTCCCTAAGCAGTACAGGTCACTGGAAGATATGAATGATCTTCTTGGTCGAGGGACGCAGGCTCTTGCCTCAAAGATGGCACCACAGAAGGCTATGAGCTCCAGGAGGGGTATCAGGATGGTCAGAGTTTAGGGGTTTCCTATTCTTGTTAAGACCTGTGTTCACTTTACAGAGAGCAGGGCTAAAGCATGGACTCTATGTTGGCAACATGGCCACCTACGTCATGAAGTCGGGGTCCACTGCCCGGCGAACATGTGGTGAGAGTCCCACGAGGGGATGACGTCCAGGTGCAGTGCTGGAGTTTACCAGTATTTTTATAGGAAGCAACAAGAGAATTCAAACTGCTTTTCACTGATTACAGGAAACTGGAAAGAAAGATGCTCAAGTTTACCATTTAAAGGAACCACAGGCGTTTCAAAAACCTCTCTCTAAACTTTGGTTTAAAAATAAAAATTCAGTTCACCACAAAAAGAAATATAAATCGAGGCTGTAGCCAGCTGCTGATCATGTCCTCGGCAGTCTTTTGTGCAAAATAAGGCGCATTTGAGCTCCACATTAACTAAAACAAAAAGAGAAAGAAATATATTGAAATTATCCCTCCAAAAATCCAAAGGGCTCAGATCCTTCCCTGAGATACTCAGGCACAGTCCCCAGGTAAATGGGCTTGGGCCTGTAGGTGGTGGCTGGGATCACAACCTATACTTTGTAACAAAGCAAAGAATGCTATAAGAGTCTCACCATATTCACTATCAAAAAGAGTTACCCTAAAATTGGAATTATTCTAACTTGCAAGGAAAAAAAAAAACTTTATGGCTAAAAGTAAAAATTTCTTCTACTTAAACTAAATTTGTGTTGAGAAGATGAATTATATTCATCCTTTGCCCCCCCCAAAACTCCTTGATTTATTAAAGGAAAAAAAGAATACTGAATGTGGTAATAATCTCCAAAATGATAGTTTAAAATTCTATTTTTTGTATTAAATTTAAATAAACTTTTATTAAAATTAGCCACAGACTAGCAGAATAATCATAATATATTTTACAGAAAAAAACCAACCAGCCACATCTTCTGACTAACGCTCTGTCCACTGAGCAGCAATTTCATTTGTCTCCTATCCACATCTTTAAGAAACATGTGTCCCTAAGAAGTTCTTGTGGACTGAAACGGTTTCCCTGGGAAGATAAATGAACCATCTGAGTTACATAGGAAAAGCTTAACTTTGAAAATTGTCTGGGAGTGTATTGTAAGCTCAGGTCTTGTAAGTGCTTTGAAATAAAGCAGAGTGTCTCTCTGCTGGTCCAGCCTCTTTGCCTGCGTCTGTTTGGTTGGGTTGGTGGGGACTCCCTCTCCCTATATCCTTCTGAAGAGTCTGTTTGCTTTTCTCTCTCTGGGCCTGGAATGCAGCTCCTGGGTCAGCAAGGGTGGGAAAGGGCCAGTGGCCACGTCCAGCCTCCAAGAAATCCTCAGTCTATGGAGCCCCCAAGGCTAGTGACACTGAGGCCCTGGATCCCGACACAGTTCCCTGCGGAGGGCTTACGTCACACAGCCGGCGTCTATTTGCTCTGCATGCTGTAGCAGTGCACGTCCTCCTTCCCCTTGGCATCGTAGCCCGGGAGCGGCTGTCCGTACTTATCCACGCACCAGCAGAAGCCCCGCTTTCTGCCTTTGGAAGGGCGGCACTGTGGGACAGAAAACAGAAGACCCAGAAGTGAAAAAACATCCCCTGGCCCAGGGGCAGTTTGGGCACCAGGGAAGATGGCAACATGGTTTTCCCAGAAATCACAGCCAAGGCTACTTGAGAGCCACACGTGGGCCTAGGCAGCAGCGTGGGTGTCGGTACGCACATGTGTGCAGATGTTTACTTTTCTAAGCTGGGGTGGGGCAGTTTTATGCCTCTAAAAGTCTAAGGTGGATATCAGACCCTACAGACCCTGGTGAGCCTCAGGCTTATCTGCCAAATGAGGAAATGAGAATGTTCTCTCTGCCCTGGGACTCATGGCACCGTGTCAGGGTGAATCTGTTGCATGTATGGTAGAAAATGCTGGTGTGATTAAGAGGCCAAAGAGAACAACAGCTATAGAGGAAGACTCAGGCTCTGGGACGGGTGACGCCCACTGCAAACCCGGGAACAGGGTCACCCTGGGGCCGGCATTTATTACTTAGGTCTTCTAAGACTAAGTCTACAGAAATCTTGGTACAAATTTTTCAATTTTACAGCCAACGGAAATGCTGCCACCATAATGCACACTCTACAGAGGCATATGGATTATGGCTTAATGTAACTACAACTGCTTGTCACTATCAAGGCGGCCTCGGTGTGAAAAGGGATCAATATACGATCTCAAGTAAGCTTTCTGTTACGTGACCTCACACCTCACTTCTCAGAAATGTGCTACAATAGTCATCTGAAGGGCCATTCCATGATGCAGCACTAACAGAAGTGTGGGTGTGTCCTCCCGTGGTTCATGATGAACTCCACGGATGGCACTGCATGTGTTCTGTGGCTGAGCTGCTGAAAGGGCGGGAGGGGATGGGTGGTACACGGGCACTGGGGTTGGGTGCCCATCTAGCATCACTTTGACTTGGAGCAACAAGTCAAAGTAGCCCTTGGTCCCAGCCCCGGTGCCATGTGGGCTCAGAGTCCGAGGTCAGAGGCTAATTTCTCCTGGTGTCACTGGACAGTGGGAGAGAAAGAAACACTTGACCTCACTCACCTGCTTTTTCTTATAAAATCCCTTCTTGTCGCAGTTGGGGATGTGAACGCCCCTGGGACTTAGCACATTGAGGAACTTCAGGTGATTCAGTGTGTCCTCCATTTCTCTGCGGCAAGGACCCTAGGGATTAGGAAGTTGGGGAACAACAGAGTCAGGGTTATTTCTCTGGAATGCACGTTTTCAAAAATCCCACAGGGCCACACAGCTATCACAAGTGGGACCTGCAATACGTATGTTCCTCAAATGTCTTTTGCCTGATTTAGCAGGAAAATCCCACATGGATGCCATCTCCTGCTCCTGTTCTCCTCAGGCTCTTCCCAGGGTGAGGCACAGAAGCTGGCACAGGGCCAACAGTAGGTCAATCTATAACTCTCTCTAAGAGAATATTTTACTTTATCTGCCGAGGTCTTTCTGATACCCCATTTGCTTTTACAAGTGTTATTTCAGTTTGGTCCTCCTGAGATTATCTGAGATAGGAAAGGGTCAATATTCTTTATGTAAGGAGGGAGAGGAAAGATTTGAGGCAGAGAGGGCAAACGGGACCACTGGGGCTTGTTGTGTAAAGAGTGTTCTTCAGAGGCCCTGAGTACCCAGGCATGGTGGGTCCCACCCTCCTCCTTTGGCAAAAGGAAAGGCTCTCACATATTCTGTCTCTCGCTTAGACTCAGAGGAGAAGTTCTGGGTGTCTGTGCTCTGAGACTCGTAGTCGACCTTGTAGCGCTGGCTGTCTTTGGCATGCCCTTTCTTGATGACATCCATCTTGGCATGGATGGGGTGGAACTTGGAATCAGACATGCGGTGTGTGCTGGGGACAGCCTGGCTCTCCACACTGGTAGCACTGCGGTCTTCCTCTGACTCACTGGCGTTTCCTTGAAAAGCGCAAGGGAGGCAAAGACATTAAGAGTTATTGACATCTAACAACAGCCTTTCCCCAAATCTTAATACTGCAACCAAGTCGCATGGACATAGCATAGTCACTTTGATGAAGTGTTAGTCCATAGTGCTCCCTGCACATGGCAGCTCCTATATCTCAAGAGCTCATCTGTTTAAAATCAATCTGACATGTGCTTTCCCTAAGTAGCTGCAAATGAAGAAGGCAGAAAGATGCTCACCAAGTTCCTCTCTATAGGTGGTTTACCCCACACTGGCAGGGGTGGACCTGAGCCAGGGAGGTGTTGCAGGAGATCTTGCAGGAGATCCTCCCACCTGTGGGAGCAGCGACAGCCCCAGGAAATTGGAAAAAATGCACATCTTCCCCACCAACACTGGAGTGGCTGTGGCAGTGTGGGTTTTAATAAGCACTCCTGGGAATTCCAGCATTGGCTCATGGTTGGCCAGCGTGGCCATGCTACCAGGGGTAAAGGCTGCCTGTGAGCTTGGCGTCAGGCTCGGATGGGGAATCTGAATTCCAATCTGCAGTGGGTGTGCCGGTGGCTTGTCTTTGAGGTCTCTTGTTACATCTCTAAAACTCAAGGTCCACAAAGACCTTATGCATCCTGGGGGACCCCTCCTGGGTGAGTCCTCCTCACCCCCAGTCAGCACAGGAGCGCTGAACTTCCACTCAGTGCTCAGGCTTCTAAGTGCCAAGCACTTTCATTCCCTGGGTCGGGGTGGGGAGAAGGAAAGCGCCTTCCAGCAGATCCTCATTTATAATCAAAAGTGCTATGTGCAGACAGCCTGATCCTTGGAATGGAGTTTAGTTGGGATTTTAAGTATATGACTAAATTTGTGGTTTGATGTATGGCCAGGATTCTCACTTCACTTCTTTTCGGAGATGGATGAAGGACCCCTATAGGAATCAAAGGCTACATTTATGGAAGATGCTCCTGGGGCACTCAGACCTCCCAGTGACTTTGGCTTAAGTCTGAAAGTGACTGTCAAGGGATTCCTTTACTCCGAAAGGCAGAGTCTTAATGTCTACCCTTAGCAGAGGTGTTATGTCACCCTTTTGGTCCTAAACCTATTCTAGATAGATACCAGAGGGTTGAAATTATTTGGCGCAAATGCCTTCCTCTGTTCTGGAAGTGCACACTGGAAGGGTCACTCACCCAGCCTTGGGAAATCCCTCTCCTCTCTGGGTCTCAGTTTCTTTACCCACCAAAGAGCCCACTGAAGTCAAGGTGCAACGTTTCCTAAGGGGTTTTGTGCCTTGGGGAGTGCAAATTCCCAGGGTCTATCCCAGAGCCTGGCAAAGTATGCCCCTAAGTGACAGAACTTGGTTTCAATTTCCTTTAATCCTAGTCTTTTCCTTTTCTTTTTCAAAGAAACCTGAGTAATTTCTTAAACTTGCTTGGTTTCTTCTTAATGCCTGGACTGCAGACTAGGGCATGAAGAAAACACAGTTCTATTTAAGGAACAGATAACTATGACTTTTTACGATCATAAAAATTTGCCTATTTTTCTCAAATGAATTTTAGAAGTCACTTAGATTGTTTTGTAATTTTATAATAACTCACATCAACCCATACTACTGAACTACTACGGTGGTTATCATAATATTATGAATATTTTCCAAGATCACCTTTTAAACACCCCAAAATGTACTAGAACAACAACAGACACACTTAGCAAACAACGTAACTTTGCCTGGAGAGACAAATGCCTCCAGTGATTCTAACAATCAACTGGAGTCCCTGCATGTTTCAGGCAATTAGAATCTTCCCTTTCCATTAATCTGGTGTTTCTCAGAATGAAGTCAGCCTTGCCTAGCAAGGACGTAAGTTCACCAGGGTTGGAATTCTGCAGCTATGTAAGTTATCCAGGACTGTCCATCCTGCCAGGCTTGGACGGGGGGCTGGCTCAGTGCTATCTGTCCGCGGAGGGGGACTAGAGTCGGGAGAATTCTCCCAGCCTTCAGCTGTGTAGGGCAGGGACTTTTCTTGTATAACTGAGGCTGGCTAAGCATGCCTGAAAGAGGAACAGCTGCCAAATCCATGGGAACTTCTTTTTTAAGGGAACAACGCGATGCCTTACCAGAACTGCACCTGCCTGACAGTGGCTGAGCCAGAAGAGGTGACTCTGCCAAATGTTTGCATTTTTCTTCTTCTGGGGCTTCTTTTTTACTGCTCCTCACTCTTCCCATTTCAGATTAAGAGGGGAAATAGTCCCAGAACTGATTCCAACTCATATTCCTGTAATTGAAATCCACTCCGTCCACATTCTCTGAACCCCCAGGCACCTGGGCATTTGTTTGGGATCCGAAGAGGTGCAGCGTAATGTAAATGGGATGGTAGGAAAGTGGCCACACAGGGTTTAAACCTACAGTTTATTTCTGCCTCTAGGTGACCTTGAAAATTTGCTTCTTTCTGAACTTCAGGTTTTCTAAGTGTAAAAGATACCAAACCCCAAATCCACCTTGTTTTTGACATACCAGGACATGACACTGCATTGCAAATCAAAGGTTGTGCAAATGTTAGCATTTCTAAAGACAAGGTCCCTGCCCACCTTCCCAGGTCCAAATCCGCCCCTTGGTCACCGTACTGCGTTCCCAATACCCACACCAAGCACCCTTGGGACTGACGCGCGCCCTTAGTTCGCGGGAGTCCAAAGTCACGTTCCATAAAATCGGACTATATAGTTCACCTTTCGTACCCGCGTAGGGCAAAAGAATCTCCCGTGTTCAGGATCTTTTCATTGACAGCTAACCTGGATACCGCTTTCTCGCCCGTCCCTGAAACCTTTAACCGATTGCCACTGAAAAAGCTTTGCAGTCCACAAAGTACTCGTTCTACTTAGGGTTTCTCTAGCAAGCGTCTACACCTTTTGGGCCTCAGGCTCCCCAGGTACAACCCTCGGACCGAGAAAAAAATAGTTTCACCCCAACAGCACCCCCAGCGACCCCCAGCCGTTCGCATCAGCCCCGGGTGCAGTGCGCAGGGCACCTGGCGCGGGCGGCTCACCTGGCGCGGGCGGCGCTGGCAGCAGGTAGGAGCGCAGGCGGCCCATGGCACTGGCGTTGGCGCAGAGCCCGCGGCCGTCCAGCAGCGCCTGCAGCGGGCGCGGGTCGCCTTGCGGCGGCTGGCAGCGGAGGCCGGCGCCGCAGCGCTCGGTGTAGACGCCGCACGACTGGCCTTCTCGCAGCGCGCACGTCAGGCAGCAGCCGCAGCCCGGCTCGCGCACCAGCTCGGCGCACGCGGGCGCGGCGGGCGGAGGCACGCACTGGGCCAGCGCACGCGCGTCGCACGGCTCGCAGCGCACCACCGGGCCGGCGCCCGCCGAGCCTGCGCCAGCCCGAGCCACTGGCGGCTCACGAAGCAGCACCAGCACGGTCAACGCCGCGGCCCAGAGCATGAGGCGTGCTCGTTGCATGGCGCCGTCAGGGAGGCCAGCTGCTCGGTCGGCTGGGGTGCGCAGGAATAGGGCGACAGCACTCGGCGCGAGGTTGCGGGATCCAGGCAGGCAGCGGGTCCTTATTGTCTCGCTGCGCGCTCGCATCTGGGCGGCCCGGGTGCGCCGGCCGCTATATAGAGCCGCAGCGGCCGAGGACACGCCCCGGAACGGCGCGCCCAGGAGGGGGGCGGGGTGGGTCGGCGCAGGCCCCGCGGCGGGGGCCCGAGTCTTGGCCTCCAGCTCGCCGCGGGTCTGGGCACCTGCTCCCGTGCGCACGCTTGGCGCCTGGGCCACCTCGCAATCCCTGGGAATAACAGCCCGCCCGGCCACTGTGGGCCCCAAACCTCCTCAGCGTCCCCGACACCCCAGTCGCTCCAGGCCAACTAGGCTCCCCGGACCTCCTCTGCACCTCTGCCCTTACCTCTCCGCGCCCCCGGCGAGGTCGCCCTACGGCGAGCTCCTGTTAGGATAACTGGCAAGAAGCTCCTCATTCTTGTGCACTTTGCAAAAGTTTCTAAAGTTTAATTCGTGGGGTAGAGAAAGTCTTGAACATTTCTGAATGAGAATACCTGATGGCCACTGAAGTCTTCGGAAGTCGAGGCGCTGTTGGGGGAGGGTGTTAATTTACAGCCGCTGGCCTTTAGCACCCCCAGCGAACCGCAAATACGCATCTGCAGATAGGCACGGAGTCCTAGTCCCCATTGACGCTTGCTTCGCAAAGCGGTAAAGACGTTCTGGCTACTCCGCCGCAACCCCCAGTTTAGAGCGGGCTGACAGCGACGTCGTCCTTAAGGCTGGACTTTAAACATATATATATATATGTGTGTGTGTGTGTGTGTGTGTGTGTATAACTTTAAACCGCAGCTCTGCTGCTTGTTTTAGGTATTCTCCTTGATCGTGTCTTCAAATTGTTTACATCCACAAGAAAAGAATAATAAAGACAATGAAACCGGCACTGCTGAGGCATATTAATAACAAAATGATACTGACTTTGGTGATTTTCACTACCACTGTTTTGAAGGAGACTTAGGATCCCTGTACTAAATTCCCTCAGATGCGCGGTAGTAGAGACTGGGATTCTCACTTCTCTGCTGGATAGAAAGGCATTGCAGTAGAGCTGAAGTCCAGCTGTGCCCTTGAGGTCGCTGTCGGCCTTCTCCGGTGGTACTCGGGTCTCTTCAACTTTCTCTGCGCGCTCCTTCCCTGCGGTGACCAACAGAGGACGCTAGTGGTCCAGGATTGGAGGGCGAATTAACTTTTTCAAGGCTTTTTTTTTCCCACAAAGGGGTTGTGGGCGAGCGGTGGGAACCGCTGAAATGCCGGCGGGAAGAGACTTTCCTGGACATTGTTGAACTTGAATACTTGCTTTAGGAGGGGGTAGGTGTTTTGGAGGGGCCCCTTGCAGTTTGTGGTAGGAACAGCAAATCAGAATCTCCACTGCTCCCCTCCCCACGCAGCCTTAGGATGAAGTTAGCCTTTATCCACCATCTCCCTCTCGCCCAATTCTCCACTGCGCCCCTCCCCACGCAGCCTAGGGTGAAGTTAGCCTTTATCCACCGTCTCTCTCTCACCCAATTCTCTCTGTTTCGCTCTCTCCTTTCCTCTCCATATAAACACACGCGCGCACATGTTCATCTCCCTTTTAGAAATATATAGCCTCCTCTTAGAATGAGAGGAACAATTTGGTTCCAGCTTTATTCTTGTAGTAGATAAAATAAAATAAAAAAAATAAAATTACAATAATCGGGCCTCTATAAGGGGAAAAAGACCGAAGATAAGAAGAGTGGAGGGCACCTGGGCAAAGGTCCAGTGTCTTCATTTTCTTATGAGCACTCAGGCCTGCCCGCAGTGGCCCTGCGGTGACTGTTGCTGGCTGTCCCCTCTCCTGTATCGCTTCCTTGTACCCTAGAGTTTCTGTGTTAACAGCCAAGAACAGGGTCTCTGATTTCACTGGAAAATTGAAGGAAACAAAACGGATCCCTCAGGCTTACATTTGTTCTTGAGACCTTGATTCTGAAATTAGAGCAGGTTTCTGTCTGAAAAATGATTTTTAAGATCGTAGGTCTGCCATTCTGGTTGGTACTATGTTACACCCGGAGCTGGGACTGATGACGGTGTAGCAGTTTTTACCCAGTTTTATCATCTTGTTTTTATGATCATCTGAGGAAGCTCAGAAAGAATTTATTTTTGGAAGATTATTTTTTAAAATCATTGCTCTTGATTCTCTTCTTTAACTTACATTAACTTGACTTTACATTACGTGACATTACATGAACTCACACTGCAGTTTGAGAAACGGAGGCTGCTTCTGCAGAATGACTAGGGGGCGCCAAACCGCCAGGCGTCCAGCCCCGACCTTAAGGACAGCTGGACACGTGCAAAAACTCAAAGTTGCGTCGCAATTTTCAAAGGAAATTACAGTAATAACGTTTCATACAGACAGTCATCACCTTTGTCATGAAATCTTTAAACAGAGGAGCGAACTGTGGTTTATTATTTAGCCATTTTTGATGAAACTACAGGGAACCTCCCCCTTCCCCAGAACTTAATTATTGTGGATTGTTGTAGGAAGCACTTAAATTGAACTGAACTTAATGAATGGGCATAAGTCAGTTTTGTCAAACTTTCGGGTAATCTGGCATTTGTTGTTATTAACATAAAAGAGTATATGGTGAAAAGACACCCACCCCACCATGAAGGTACTTGGCATACAATTGCTAGTAATTGTAAAGTAGGATATAACTATCCAGACAGGCCAGGAGAATATACCTTTTTTCACTAACAAAGTCTAATTAGTGATTTCCTGGGGCCAGCCTGCTCATCTAAGCTAGGTGACTTCAACCAGTCATTCTTAGGGGCACCTTGCTGCTTACTGCCATGCTGACTTCCCCACCTCTCTGCTCAGGCCTTGGCTAGACAAAGTACCCTAGGGTGTCTCTTCTTAGGCCCTGCTGAGGGTGAACACTGTTTCTCCAAGGCCCCACTCTCGGGGAGTATGGCTGTCATGTTTACTGACCACCACTAGACCCGGAACAGAAAGGGCCAAACTCCTAGAGACAAGTGATGGTGGGGACCCAGTTTCCAGGGCTCTGGGGTATGCAGCTAAACCTTCACTGTCATCTCCTAGGGCAGGTATGGGTGGGGACAGGGAACCTAATTTTCCCTCCACAAGATTGTCTACTGAGCCTCTTGGAATTATGTACACTGGGCTTGTGGATGCATTAGAAATCCTTGGCTGCCAACTTCCCTGTGGCTACCATACTGAAAGTGACTGTCACCCACAGATAACACGAGTGTGCTCTCATCTGTCCACTTAGTCCACAAACGGTCACTGACATCTCCATGTGTCAGCTGGAGAGACTCACCAGACAGCAAACAGTGGTGGGGAGTGTGAATATGCTAAAAACAGCAGGGTTTACTGAGGTTGATTATAACCCAGGGGAATGGCCATGCCCATGTCATCGGGAAAAGCTTCCTAAAAAGGGTGGCATTTTTGAGTCATAAATGATGTGGGACAGTCCATCTGAGGGAGGTAGGCAGGAGGAACAAGGTGTAGTAGTCACTGTGTGTCTGGAGGGATGGAGGGAGCTGAGAAGGGACAGTATGAGCATTGCATGTGTGTTTTGGGAAATAGGATTCTGGGATTTAGAAGAGATGAGGAGGCAAACTGATAAAATGAACTTTCTCCGTAGCCTCAGATAAGTGCTGTGTTTTGTAGGACAATTTGGAGATGGATAAAAGTTTTCCAGAGAAAGAGCTTGGATGCGTTCTGAATGGAATGAAGGCCCAGCTGGGACCCCATGCTGTGGAAGGAAGGTTTCTATTCGGTACAGTGATGCCTCCCCCCCCACCCCACCCCCACCCCCGGTCCATGGCCTTTTCTCTTGTCTTTTTAGTGCAAACGTCAACATGCTTACAACTGATTTCACCTTCAAAGTGGCCATGAGTATAATGTGGTCTTTGATCAATAAAACCATTGCTTTCCCTAGGGGAAGGCACAAGATTGACATTGTTGCCAGAGGCAAGCAACTTAAACAAAAAGTGCCCCCCCCCCCGAAATCTTAGACAGGAGCTGGAAAGATCTGGGGGGACATTTTTTGTTTAACTTGTTTGCTTCTGGCATCAATGCCAACCTTGTGCCTCTCCCTAGGGACAGCAATGGTTTTATTTCCAGATTTTCATACAGCTTTGCAAGGCCAGGTAGGGAGGAGGAGACACCCACTGGCTCTCCTCTCATGGCTAGAGGGGCCCCGAGGGTGCTGTTATCTCTTTCACTGGAGATGTGGGCAATCCCTCTTTCACCCATGCTGGATTTCCTAGGCCATAATCCACACATTGCCCGGTGCCTCCCCCATTTTTCTTTTTTTATGAGGTATGATTAACATACAATAGACGACACAGATTTGAAGTGTACAGTTTGATTGGTCACTTTTGATATATGTATATACTCATGAAATCACCACCATATAATGAACATTTCCATCATACTCAAAAACATCTTGACTCTTTGTGATCTTGACCTCTCCTTTCCTCCATTCCCCGCCTCCCCCCACGCACCCGCTGATCTCTTTTCTGTTGCTCTAGATTAGTTTGTATCTTCTAGAATTTTATATATTCATAAATGGGATCATATGACATGTACTATTTTTCACCTGATTTCTTTTACTCAAGATTTTGAGACCCATCTTTGCTGTGGCATGCATTAATCCGTTTTGTTCACTCCGTTTTGTTGAGTTGAATTCTATCCTAAGGATATATCATAGGTCATCCATTCATGTGTTAATGGACATTTGTATTGTTTACAGGTTTTCTTTTGGCTTTTAATTACTGTTTTAAAATTAAAATGTATAGAAGTCTTTCTGTAGATGTATGCTTTCAGTTCTCTTGAGTAAATACGTCACTGGTGGAATGTCTGGATTATTTTATGGATTTATTTGATGTTTTAAAAAATGCCCGAAGGTGCTGTACCATTCTACACTCCCACTAGCAGGACATGAGGGTTCTAGTTCTTCCGCATTCTTGCCAAAACTTGGTATGGGAAGTCTTTTTTAATTTTATGCACTTTCTTAAGTGGGTAATGGTATCTCATCTTAGTTTTAAT